AACACCTGAGCCTGTATCAATGCTTCCTGTCTGGAGTGAGACAGGAGCAGCAGGTCGTCCAGGTAAAACAAAACTCTCATCCCTGCTCTGTGCAGTGGATGCAGGGCTGTCTCCACACACTTTGAGAACGTACGAGGCGCGAGGGAGTACCCGAAAGGCAGCCTGTTGTACTGGTACTTCATCCCTTGAAAGGCGAAACGCAGAAATTTTCTGTGTTTTGGGATGATTGGTATGTGAAAATAAGCATCTTTTAAATCGATGGAGACAAACCAGTCGTTTTTCTGGATGTTGTCCAACAGCTGTCTGTTCGTCAACATGTGAAAAGGTCTGTTCATGATCGCTTTGTTGAAAGCTGACAGATCCAGAATCGGTCTCATCCCTCCAGTCCTTTTGGGGACCAGGAAGTAGCGTGAGTAAAACCCTGTGTTTTCCTCCTCGTTGGGAACTCTTGAGATTACACCTTTTATCAGAAGCTCTTGGACTTCTGCATTTAAGGCTGAGACTTGGTCTGGTGATGACAGGACCGTCTCTATAACTCCTCCGAACGGAGGGGGTCGGGTTGCAAACTGCAGCGTGTAACCCTTGCATAACACTCTGTCCATCCATCTGTCCGGTGAGCATGTTTTTAACCACTCTGCGTGACGTTCGTGGAGTGGACGTGCGTTTAAATGATGTGCCGTGTTTTGAACGGATGTCATCCAAACCTCCGCCTCGACCGCCGTCATGCGTCGCGGAAATGTTTTCCGCGTGACCCAAGGCGAGGCTTCCTCGAAAGGGCTGATCTGCGCGTGCCCGTGCGCTGTGTCTGGATCGCGGGCCAACTTTCATGTCCGGGCGGGGCGGTGTGCGCTGAGGCGAGGCGTGTGTCAGCTGATGACGTCGAGAGGCTGCACGTTTAACGTCGCTGTGCGAACGTTGAGAGGTGGAGGGCGTGACGTCATCAACGCCGTGCTGTCGAAGTGAAGGTTGTGAGCCTCGCGGGAGCGCACGTTTCCTCTGGAGGGACGCGCGCCGCTCTCGCTGAGGGCGGGGCCCGTCATTGGATTCATTCAGCTGTCTCACGCTTATGTCGCCGTGAGCTGCCGATCGCTGAGACGCGATGGATGACGGCCGCTCGCGTTCATTCAGGAGAGGCGTGTGTTGTTTTCGCTGAGAGCGGGGACCTCCACCGGACCCGGCCTGCGGTCCCACATTTATCCCGATGTGAGCCGGTGAGCGCCGGGCAGCTGTGCGTGCATCATCGACACAGTGCCGTTTGGATGGAGGCTGCTTGTCTCGCTCGGGTGCGCGTTTAACACCGTTTGGGTGGTGATCGTGCGGGTCTGATTGACAACAAGTTATTTCGCTTACCGTGGTGTCACGTGAGCGTCTGGGCATGTGAAGGAGCGGCGGTGGGTTTAAAAAACCTTTATTTAAGGCCACCGGCTCTCTCTGTGTGGAGGATGTGTGTGTAGCGGCTGTGAGCTCATCCGAACTTACAGACTGGCTAAAAAACAGGCATTTTGATCTTTGAAAAATCATTTATTTCACTTCCTGTTTCATTCATACACACATCCTCCGCAGACCGTCATTTCTTAAACCTTCTCCCTCGTGAGCTCTGCGGTTTGTTTGCCCCGAGCGCCGTCTGCAGGCGATCTCTGGGGAAACGCTGAAGTGCAGGCTGCCGGACTGAGGAGGGGTGGTCTCTGGCGGGCGGGGCTGGTGGTGGAGCTGGGCGAGACGAAGCTGCTGCTGCCGTGGAGCGTCGATGTTTCTGCCTCTGCTCTCGACGATCTGTCCAGCGGGCTGGGGGACGGGATGAGCCGCGCGGCTTGATGAGATGGCGTACCGCTTCCGACATCTCCTCCGACTGCTTCGAATTTGTCAGCATGGTCGTCAGGCTGCTTCCGAACAGCGCGTCCGATGAGATGGGGCCCTCCATCAGGTCCTTGTGCAGCTTTTCCAGCAGCAATGGAGAGTGACGGAGCCAGATGGAACGTTGGATTACCGTCATCCACGCTGCAATCCTCGACAGGCAAACCGTGGAAGCGGCGCACATGTTGAGGACGGCGTCTGCCGATTTACACAGGGAGCTCTTTGTCTCCTCCGGCAGGTCTGAGGCCTCCAGCCTTTTCGACATGCTAAATGCTAACAGCGCCACGTTGTTGTTAGCCGCGGCCGCCTGAAAAGCACACTGGTGGGCTCTGTTGGAGAGCGCGGTCGCCACCTGGTCGTGTTTCCCCGGAGGGACGGGACGCTTCTCCAGCCTGGACATCTTCGCTCCGAAGGCTTCCGCGAGGCTTGGCTCCAGGGGGGGGAACCGAGGAATAGCGTCAGTTGCCTTACAGAGGGAGTTCTTTGTCTCCAAGGCAGGTCTGCGGCCTTCAGTCCCTTGGACATGCTATATGCTAGCAGCGCACGTTGTTGCTAACTGCGGCTGCCTGGAAACACGTCGGTGAAAAATAACCTTTCCGCCGATCATCCGAACTGGCGGGAAAAGGCGAGGGACGTAGAAAAAAGGGGTCCCTTCATGTCAGCCTCCTCCCGGGTTCCGCCGGGCAACCCCTGAGGGCGCCGTCGGCCGGGAGCGGTGTGATCGCCGATGCGAAACGAGGTGGGATGGGGTGAGCATTCACTCAGCCCCCCTCCACCTACACTACGCTCCCCAGGAGGGAATGAGCAGCGGGGGCTGCAGCTGAGCACACCTTGCCCCGGAGGAACCATCCGGTTCGCCCCGAGGGTCGGCGATAAGAGGAAAAAACACAAGATGGCGTTGTCCAGCGTGTAGTGACCTGTCACTGGGAAATGTTCCCCGACGCTTACCTTGGAATAAGACTGCTGTCATCTTCTCCTCGGGGAGGAGAACTCACCGGACGACCGGAGGTCGACTGCCGGGCCAAGCATCCTTCACAAAGGTTGGTCATTTACACAATTTATCTTCTTTGTTCTTCTGACAGTGCTATATTAGCTCGCTGAAGAAAAAATGGGAGCCGATTTCCCGCTCTTAACGTAATTTATACGGACCGGGTGGGGCCCACACAGCAGGTGGGCGTGGACTAATTTTTTCAGTGCTTATGCTCTGCATAACGGGATAAACCCATCAGCGACAGCCTTAAAGGGCGAAGCCTATATGAAATAGAACGATCAGCTTATCCATGGGAATTCCAGTAAGGCACCAGAGAAAGCAAATAAGTGAGGTATGTAGGAGTTGTTCTTGTCTCAAGGGCCCTGCAGCTTTTTATTACGAGCCGGAGGGAAACAAAAATATTTTCATGGCTGAATCACTGTGCTGTTGGCACTGAGCGGAGCTCCCATTAATCTCTCCCATTAATGTCTGCTTTTATTCTTCTACGTCCTTGGCTTGTCTGATTTTGTTTCCTCTCTTTCTTTCCCAGGCGTTTCTCTGATATCGAAGCTCACATCTTCAACACTACCCGCATCGTATTTAAACTAACTTCTAGTCTCTTTAAACCCCATTATAAGCTGAAATATCTGAGAGTAAAATCCTCCTGTTTTCTGCTAACCTTGAATCTGATTCATATTCATGAAGCTGCTTATGTTTTTATCAAAAGGAGCCAAGTTGAATTTACATGGACCCACAACACCTCAAACCGCACAAGGATTGGGATTCACGGTGCATCTCAGTGAATCTAAAGAGGGAGACGGGAGGCAATTAGGGAATAAATACAAACATTTGCATTAACAGGCAGAAATAATGACAAATTAAAAGCCTAGCATTCCATGAAATAATGCAGATTTTCCACTGCCCATACGCTTGGAGTTTTTTAACTAAGACCATCTTTTACTGAGAAGGAATGACATTTTAGCCGTTTTGGTCAAACCATGAATATTGTAAGACTGCAAGACCTCAGGTGATGAGTTAGTAGCTAAACTACAACTGTGCCAGATCCTCGCACACCATCTGTAAAACTGACTGCATTATAGACAATTTGTGTTTTCTAAGGTCAATTGGCTGTGGTATCCATCTTTCAGTAGGTTTAGTTCAAAAGTGAATCAGTTGTAGATGTGCTTACAATAATTACCGTACAATAATTACAATAATCCGTACTCTCTGAAGGTTTTATTGAAGTATGTCCAATGCTTAATATGATATTTTGTTAACAGACCGACAAAGTTGGCTTTAATGGGTAATAAAGTTTAAGCAATTATCCCAAAGTTCATGCTCAATAATCCAGTAAGGTCATCTGGACTGTTTCTTTTTGTTGTTGAGACGTTTCGTCCTTCATCCGAAGGACTTCTTCAGTCTGAGGAACCACCAAACCAAACTGAATCCCATTCATTTGAACAAGGATCTTGCACAGAGCTTCTATTATTCTGAAATATTCTTATGAGGACAATGCTGAGATTTTTGGGTGGGTTGGTTTGAGATTAATCATCTGCTAAACATAACATCTGTAAATCTCTTACATTAAAGGCGTCCTTAAATTACCGGAAGCAGAGAAAAGCTCCGTCTCAACCGCACAAGGACCCTCGGTTTATTAGTTTTTTATTGACCCTTTATTTATACAGGTAGTCATTGAGTCACGAGAACTCATTTTTCAAGAGAGACCTGTTTGGGAGCAGATGGTTGGGGTTAAGGGACTTGCTCAGGGCCCAGGGTGGGTGGGGCAAATGAGGGTGGAGGCAGGTGTGGGTGCTTCACCTTTTCCACCCACATTTTTATGTTGTCAATCTGGGGAGTTGAACCTGCAACTTTCGGATCACAGGCCCATCTTCTCTAACCTCTGCGCCGCCACTCCCCAAAAGGTTTCCTTTCTTAGTCTCCATCCTTCAAACTGTTCGCACAACATTCCCTTTTCAGATAAAGCACTTTAGCGCCTTCACTTGAGACAGACTTGCTCCGAATGAGAAATCGACTGGCTGTTTCACTCGAGCTGTATTTTCTTCTTCTTCTCCTTTTTTTTTTTTTTTTTAAATATCAAAAGAAACAGTCAATGCCTTTTGTGGAGCACAAAGGGCCGAGGGTTTGAATAGCCGCCCTGGTGAGAGAAGCTGCAGGAATGCCTGGCATTGGAAATGTGGACGTCTTTCAGTAAGTTTTTGTCTCAGTGTGCAGACAGTTGTCATGCACAGCCTCTCAGAAGAGCCCTACTCTCAAACTTGCACACAGATATGATCAATGAACAGCCAGACTTTGGTCTTTTACAGTAACGAACAGAGCAGCAGCTTGAGGTCCTGTGTTTCCCACCTCAGGTACCCAGGACATTCTCTGTTGGGTTTTGTGCTGAGTTCACTCTATTTTGTGTGTTTCTCTTATTACTTCATGTTTTCCTGTCGTAATGTTCCTGGGTGGACTGTTTGCTGTTTTCATACTTTAGAGACCTTGGATTAGCTCATGTTTCCCGTCAGTCCTGATGGGTCAATCCCTGATTTGAAATGGAAAGTTTCATACTTTTTATTTTCCCTGCGGCTTCTGGAAATGTGTTCTTGTTTTCATTTTGCCTCCATTTATCTCACCTAGGTGACAGCTTCTGAGCGGTAGTGTTGGTATTCCCATCACATGTGATCAATGATCATCATCAATCCTGCTAAATAATATAGTATGCAATGTTTCCAACCTCAACTTTTAAAAATGTTAGGCTGTTGTGTAAAATGTAAATAGAAACTGAATGCAATGGGTTGCAAATCTCATAATCCCAAATTTTGTTCACAAATGAACAAAGTAAATATATCAAATATTTAAACTGAATTTTTTTTACAATTTTTACGGAAAAATATAGGTATTGTATTTTCTGCCGTACACATTGTACCGCTGTATTTTTAATTTCATTTACCCTTTATTTATCCAGGTAGTCTCATTGAGCCACGGGAACTCATTTTTAAGAGAGACCTGTTTAGGGAGCACATGGTGGGGGTTAAGGGCCTTGCTCAGAGGCCCAGAGTGGGGCGAATGAGGGTGGAGGCAGGTGTGGGTGTTTCACCTTTTCCACCCACATTTTGATGTTGATGGTACCGGGAGTTGAACCTGCAACTTTCCGACCACAGGCCCATCTTCTCTAACCTCTGGGCCACCACTCCCCCTATAAGTTGCATCAGTCCAAAAATGTCTAATAAAGTGGGAAAAAACATAAATAAGTTGTTTCGCCGTATAAGTCGCATTTATTATGCAACTTATACGGCAAAACGACGTCACGCAAAACGTGGGCTGGTGTTGTGCCAAAAATCGATTGGCTACCAAATGGCAGAGGCGTGCATGGGAGGACTTTAGCAATAAGTTAACAAGATTACGCTTAAAAACAATTGTTTTTTTGCTCGAAATTATAGTAAAGGTGTGTCTCAGTTTAACTTTTCTTTAATAAATGCACTTTAACGGTCAAATCAGCTGCATTTCTCCTGGGCGGTGCAGTGAAATGCAGCTGATTTGACGTTTGTTCCAGGAGTTTCGGAGTGAGACGACGGTGGCTGATGTGGCAAGCCAAGTGTCTCATTAATAGCCACATTTACCTATTAATGAGACACTTGGTTTGCCATATCGCTCAAGGGCGCTCTAGAGGCTGCAAATGGTAGTGTTCAATATTTTCTATGTCAGAATGAATGAAATCGTCAGATCTCAGCCAAAAATTGGGTTAAAAATATTGGGGGGGGGGGGGGGTATATTATTCGCTTCAGTGTATAAGTCGCAGGACTTGCTAATTTATGCAAAAAGGTGCGACTTATACGGCAAAAAATATGTTTGTTTGTTTGTTTGTTTTCCACAAACACATCAAAACAGATTGAAGTAGCATTTTGCAATGAATTAGATGAATGTTTATGCCCAGTAAGACAAATGGGCATAAACATGAATATTTTCAAGAGTCTGATTTTTTTAGAAGAAATCATGGACAGAGGTTCACCAGTCTGCAAAAGAAAAAAGCCCTAAAATATTGAAATAAATTTAGAGAGATGTTCCTCAACATTAAATTAAAGTTGGTATTTTTTTCCCCCTCTGGGATTTGCGCATTTTTCTTAAACGAACACAAAACTTTGCATTTCAGTGCTTTAGAAATCGTGAAACTGAGTGTAAAGTGATCACAACTAGTGCCGATGGGTTTCCCCCCACAGAACAAAAAGCTTTGAGTTCAGAGAAAACAAACGTGTACGCGAACAGTCGAAACAGCCGAAATGCTACGGCTTCACTCAAAACCATTATCATGTGAACAGAGCCTTGGAGACGTCCGGTGGAGTGCCACTCGAATGCTCCACTTCAGGCTCCAGCACAGACCCATGGTCTCAGTCCAGAGCAGCCAAACCTGAACTGGTCATGAGACGAGACAACCGAGCTAATGTGGAAACTCCAGCTGGTCGTCATTAACCAACTCCACCTTTGAGTTTGACGTCTGAACGTACAGTACCTCTACTTCTCTGTGCAAAAACTATCACACATCCATCTTCCCATCCTCCTTTCTTCGTCTTTTTAGATCATGTTCTGGAGCTGCTCGCTCCTGTGCTCCGTTTCTCTCTCTGGACACGGACTCCTCTCTCTAAGCTATTGATTGGTTTTCTTTCTTCCCAGCCTCCTCCTACTTCCATGCCCCAGTGGCTGCTGGATTGAGCCAGAACTTGGCCACACACTGTATCTTTGAGTCTGTTGGGAAAATAAAATGGGGACCGTTTAAATAAAGGAGGGCCACTGGTTCAGGAGCAGGGACGGATACAAATGGATGTGTGGTTAGGATAAGGTTCAGAAGCCTTGAATAATAAATACATAACATCTCCCATCTCTCTTGTGTTGCTTTTACCTATTAGAAAATATTATTTATGACGATTTAGAATAGAAAATATACTTTATGGATAGGAGCACCTTATGGTGCTGCCATTTTATATTGGCTGATTGGAGCAGAAGTTCTTCAAGTTGGAGTCACTTCTGTTACTTTGCAGATGTGCATCATCCTAATTAACAACAGCTGATGAAAGAAAACGTAAACACTTGTTCAGAAGATGAAACGTCTTCAGTGTTGCTGCTGCACAAACTACACAGACCTGCACTTACAGTCTTTACTAGACTACAGTTAGATGGTACAGGTTGTCCACTTACATCACATGAAATGACTACAAGATAAAACATAGAAACATCTTGTCCTGCACACTGAGTCTTATACTGCATTCAAAACCACTAATGTTCCTGTTCAATACACTATGAGAGCATACATTTGGTCACCCAGTACCAAAAGGCACAAGGCGGGCAATTATATTTTTGCTGTTTTTGTCGTGTTCATTTTTTGTGTTAGCATAATATATTACAGACGACTTTTTCAAGACATCAGCCACAGCTAATTGATCATAACAAATCCAAAAATGGCTATTAGTCAGTCAAATGTATATTTGTTGTGGTAAAAATTGTTGTGATAGTAGCTGAGAGTCATCCTCTACAGACTCTGAGAGTTACTCATGCAACATGTTGTCCTAAAGCTTTGTTGTTAACTGCTGGAGTCAACTCTGTCTTTCTGTTAGTAAAATTTCTCATAAACTAGAAAGCAAAGCTACTGGATGTATATCTTTAACTGTTTAACTTTTAGACGGTTGCCACAGTTAATCTGTAGCAACACAGAAATGGCTAAAAGTGGGTCAGTTTCACAGATACTGAGCAGAGGTTTGATGTGGTAGTAGCTGAGAGTGATTCACCACGCAGGCTCTGAGGTCATGTGAGATGTTGCATAATGTGATTTTTTTTTATTTGACGAAAAACAACTATAACTCGTTTCACAACTTAAGACCATCCATCATCCTTACCTGTTTCTTTTCCACATTGTGTTGTTGCTCATATCCAGCAGTCATTGTGTGAGAGGCGGGGGGACACCGTGGACAGGTCTCCAGTCCCTCACTGGGACACATAGAGACAAACGTGACAAAACTTTCACACTCACATCTATTGACAATTTAGATTTATTTGATCTAACATGCACGATTTTAGACTGTCGGAGGAAACTGGAGTACAGTTGTCCCTCGTTTATCGCAGGGGTTTGGTTTGGTTTCAAATGTATTTATCCAATTGTAGGAATAATATATTTGTCTGGATGACTCTAATGGTGAGAGCTCCTTCATGGGATATTATGCCAACTTAATGGAGATAGACTTGCTGAATTTCTATCAAATCCAACTTTTGTTCACTCTATCTCACATTGTTGTTTCATTCTGTTTCCAGTGATGGTCGTGTGGAAGTGCTGGGGGGCGGCAGTCTCCAGATCTCCAACATTGCAGTGGAAGATGCTGGTACATACACCTGTGTAGGGGAAAACCTCAACTCTACCATTGAAGCCCAGGCCCAGCTCACAGTTCAAGGTATTTTTGTCAACTTGCATCATTTTTTAATTTGTTCTATAAAAAAAATTTAACAAAAATGGTTGAAGTATCAAGTTTAAGCAATCTAAAGGAAATGAAGCAAATAAACAAATAAAGGAATGAAGCAAAAATTCTGCAGATAATCAGAAAGTCATCACAGGATTGAAATGATCCTGTCGTGCTTACAAATCAGCCAATACCTGAGTGCATTAGTGGCTTTATTTTTAAGAATGAATTAGACACAGAGTCGGTACAGGCTAAATGAATGCACAAATTGGAATTTTGTGAGAGGCAAAGGTACGTGGTGTGACTGAAGCGGAGAGGAGCCGAATCTCCCAAGGTCTTCCAGAACTCTCAGACCATCCTTGCATCAGCAAAAACAATCTCATTTTCATCTTATTATGTTTGGAAATGAGGTTATTAAGAGCCCCCTGGACTCCGCATCCCAGATATGAAACAAAGCCATGGAGAGTTTAGTTTGAAAGGAAACGAAATCATGCAAACGATGCTCAGGTAGAGGAGAATACACATGGACTTCTCAGACAAACCCCAAACAGAGGCCGAGTGTACTGTAAATGTTGTCATGAGCACAGACGTGTATTCTTGTGCGTTTTCCAAATACAACCAGTCAACAGGATTTGGGTTGAAATAACTTTGAAACGAAGGAAACACCCTGAGGCTCATTCCAAACGTTTATTGCATTTCACATACACACACACACACACACACACACACATGGTGCCATGACTCCAATCCTTTCTTCCCAAATCCCTTCATCTCCTCGTCATCCCTCAACCTTCCTTTCATCGCTTCCTGTCACTCTCTGTGATTAAAGGAGAGCGTAATGGAAAACTGGGATCAGGTCACAAGAGGACACCTGACTTCATTCGTTTTTACTCTTAAAGTCTGTCCACCCCCCCACCCTCCCCACCCCGAATAAAAGAACTTCCCCCTAAAATCTTTCACGCAAACACTCCACTTTCAGTGTGACAAGACTCCGGAGGATTGATCGCCAGCCCTGGAAGATTGTTGAAAGGCAGTTGTCCCCTGTACTCCAATAAAGCTGTTTGATTAGTTCCTAAGTTGTAGACTCTCGGGGCTAATTGCATTTGTTTCAACCACATTCAAGAAGAAGCTAGATTGTGGCATTGATTCACTCCCCTGACAACAAAAGTGACACTAGAAAGGTCAACTGATTCCTTCAATAGGTACTTAAGCCTGTAAAGGACACTCCAATCAATGTAGTTTGAATCTATACTTACAACAAAATAATTTTTCTATGACTCACCTCCACTGAATCGACTCAAGGGTCTGCGTTTCTGGAGCAACAGTAAGAAATTGTATGTTCAGGTTGAGTGGCTTTCAATAAACGCTGGACACTTAATGCTAAGGAAGAGATGCAGGAAGCCAGCTGGTGGGACGCTGTTCGGGCTTCGCCTGGAGATGGCTCGAGGGTTTATGCTGCAGCTGCTGCTCACATGTGGAGAAAGTGTTGCACAGACATACATTTGTAATCATGCCAAACACTGTCAGACATGCATGTACTGGAGGCATTCACAAACAACTTTGTGTATTCATGCATGATTCAGAATTCACGTTTACTTTCACTTGAGTTTACCCCTTCATGATTGTTGCTTTAACATTTCTGCCTCAAAGGCAAAAATGAAAAGTGTGTATGCTGATAAATAAGTACACGTTATGGATTGATCCTAAGTCAGTTTGAAAGACCTTTCTAAGAAGATTTAGCCGTTTGTTGTCTTGGAAGAGTCAGGGGAGATATGGTCCAAATTGTAACTCCTAAAGTGACCTTCAACTGCATTTAACACGCTCGGGGTGGAGAGATTCAAAATTCAGAATTTAAAATACAAATAACTTCCGTAATTGTTCAGAAAGCACAGTTCCTATCTGACTTGTGACATTGTCCAGGCACAAATGTACGTGTTCATTTTTATACTGATGTGTGAATTACTTCAGTAGATGGCTGGAATTAATTGATCTACTTCATAATAATTGTTACAGCTAGAGCCCAACCAATATATCGAAAGGGCCGATATTTTAGGCCGATATAGGTATTTTAGGACCTATCGGTATTGGTCACAATTGTCTCATTATGCACTGATTTAAACACTTCTAACTTTCAACCCTAAAATGCTGGGAACCTGCCATAATTGTACAATGTATCCAGCAGAGGGTGCATGAAGACTACTTGCAAGTATATTTATATATTTTATTTTATATTTATTTATATTTATATTTAGTATATTCAATATATTTTATTTAATTTCCTTCTGGGATTAATAAACTTTTTTTTTTTTTTATTGAATTTTGAATTGAAGTCATTGCCGTTCACTTAAGTTTCACTTTCACATCCAACACAGCAGAAGCAGTGAGCAATACTATGTAGCGTATTTTACTGAACAGAGCCTGGTAAGTTTATTTTAACTGATCTGTTCTCTTCAATCCTCCAACCCGCTTGTCATTAGCTACATGCCTCTCAAGTTAGCATGCTAACGTTAGTGTTCTGTTGCACCACCTTAACGACATTAGCCCCCTTGTCAGTAGTTATAGCAACAGTCCAGTCAGACTGAGCTTTCGGTTTGTGAGGACATCCAGTGTTAGTAACGTTATCTTTGTCGTCCTCAATGAAATGCATTGTCTGAAATCTATACTTCTCTGCAAAGAAAAATAAACTTTGCTGCTGTCAATACTAATTAGACCTTCACCATATGTGACTGACTGTTTAAACAATGGACAGGGAAAGATGTTTCTTTGTTTAATTTATCTTTTTGTAACACACTTGTTAACTTTACGGTGAATAGTGGAGGATGGAAAATATGAATGCACGTTAGGTAGACAGTTTTTATTAACCAGTGCACAACTTGTAAACCTACTGTGGGACTACATAAAGCGTGGATCTGATTTGCTTAGCTTCATGGTTGCTAACAGCTGCGCTAAATTAACAAGCCCCACTCCACTCGCTTTAGTCTTGGATTCTTGGGGGTCGACAAAGCTAAAATATTTTCAGCCATGATATCGGTTATCAACGGCCACATTACCCGCCCAGTATCGTATCGGAGATAGCCAAAATGTCCATATCGGTCGGCTCTAATTTCATCCCATAGATATAAAACTGTGCATAGATAAGCTTAAAGATCAATATACCTCCAAAAAATGTATCCTCCACCATTTATCAAATAGCACTAAATACACTTTGGGAACAAAATACTTTTGATTTTATAGTGAAAATCTTTATAACCATATTTTAAAATACACTTTTTGTTTGATTTCAAATTCTTTATAAAAAAATATTTGGTCTTTGTCAAATCTTATGCTCTACCAAAGAGAACATTTTAACACTTTTATAGTTGAACTTTAAAGAGAAGTGAGTTGATTAGAGCAGCACATCTACAGTACAACAAAATGTCTTTAAAAGAACACGATCAAAATCCTGCAGTCCAGACCTCAGCCTGACTGAGCTGACAAGTTTCTGCCCTTTAAAAGACTGTTTCACAAAAGACACATTTTGTTTCCATTGTTAAAAAAAAACAACACACATTTGTGCAAACTTTTGCTAATTTACAATTAAAGAGAAATGACTGCAGACTGTCAAAACCAGAACATCTTTGTTTTGTTGGCTGCCAGTCCCAAATCTGTCAAGACAACAAATACTTTGGCACAATGAAGACAAAATAAAATCTGCATCACAGATAATGTCACTGGCTGTTCAGAGGAAAACGGTACACATCCAAGAACAGAGTGCTTTATCTTCTTCATACAAAACTATCAAATGTCAGAGAGTTTAAGAGGATTAGACTTTTCTATGTCAATCTAACCATTGTGCGGAGCAGTTCAGCTAAGAAAAACTTTTACTGCAACAGAACGACTGGATAGGAAATCTTTAGGATTGTAAAGCTCTAATCAAGTGTCAACAGAAGTATTAAAGCCACTCAGGTCATAGGTTGTTGCCTCATGTGTGGTGTCAACACACTTGCATGTGTTGCTGTGATATGTGTGGTGTGTGTGTTATGTTCAGAATGACTTTGGTTTGACACCTCACCCTCTATTAAAGCTGGCAAGAGAATAAATGAGACTAGAGGAGGCAGCAGCTTTTGATTGCGTTGTAGCGTGACTTGGTTATCACCCAAACCTGAGCGCTCTCTCTCTCTGTGTGGGTGTGTGTGTGGGTGTGTGTGTCCATGCAGTACAAAAATAGTATGTAACCCGTTTGTTACCAGTTTTATGGGGCTCAGAGTCAATGGTCTGCGTCTATCATGCCCTTATTTTATCGTGTCATCAACTTAATTCTTCTTTCCATGTGCTGTGCCCCCATGCAGGAAATCTCTCCCCCCTTTAAAAACTCTTCTATATGAGCTGTCTCCTCTGGATTTATAGCCTCTGTCATTGAGTGTTTTGACCTTATCGTAATGGGTAAAAACAAATGCTTAGATAAATAAAATTTGTAGCAGAAGTAAATAGAAGCATATGGATAATTAAAGGCCCTGCGTTCCTTAAACAAGTGCACAACGTGGATCTGCTCTGGCATGATCTTTGAGTATGTGTTGCGAGTCACTGTCAGCTGCTACCACACAAATGTCTAGCTCCATATTTGTAACATTCACTGAGCTATGCACATTTTTGTGTAGGTTAATTCTGATTGGTTGTTGCTGCCAACTCGAACTGCGCAGACTAAAAAAGTTGTTTAGTTTTTATTTTCTGAAAGCTTCATTGAAATCCATCCAGTGGTCACTGAAGTATTTTGCTAACCGACAAACTGGGTTGATTCCAACAGTTCATGCCAAGGTTTGGGGGAAAGATGTTTTCCATTGGGTTGCGCCATTGGCGTCAGAAGCATTTGCTAAAACGGGGGGTCTGGGGGTCCTCCCCCCCAAAATTTTTGAATAAAGTAGATTCCATTTCCTGCATTCAGGTGTCTTTTAACAGGTTGTTAAACATCTACTTTTACCTACATAGGTAAACACTTAATTCATTTTAATTTTTTC